AAAAAAATTTGTTTGGAGTTTCTCAGTTTTGAGAAAAATGCGCGAATATTTTTTTCTTTGAATATTTTGTTGAATCATCTTCATACATTAGAGAGAAACGTAGTTATTTTGTATATCAATTAAAAGCCTATCAGACGTCTCATCCAGTAGACGTACAACAGTACGCCGTGTCATTATGGACGATAAAAACAAGGGGGGCCTATAAGTTCTCTATAGTCTTAGGTATCATATTTTTTGCCAGAAAGCTTTAGAAGTTCATCGATTATTCTAAAGAAATCTTTGAAAATTGGAAGTGACTTTCATGAATTTTAAAACTAGACACCTTAAGGGTGACACCCATATGTTTATCTCAAAAATTGAACTTTTAAAAAAAGAAATTGATTTTTAGAGGAGGGGGCGGCCTTAAATTGATATTTTTCTTTGTTTGAAAATTTTTGAAGAAAAAAAAAATCATATATATGATAAATTCTTTTAATTATTAAAAACAAAAAGATTGACGTAGATAAATAATTTTTCTAGGTAAAAATTTCTTTTTCTCTAAAACAGAATTCAACAAATTCAATTACTTGGTCGTGATTTACGTGGACCTAATCATGAAAATTTATGGAATCAACTTGAAGCTGAAATTCATTTACATCGTCATAAAACTGTTATACGTGCATGTCGTGGACGAGAAAAAATTAATAAAATCTTAACTATACCACCTGGACATGTAAAAATGTGTTGTTTTTTTTTCTCCTTTTTTTTATTATCGATATTTATTTCAAATAGGATACAAATACATTAAAAAAACGACAAGGTGTTGGTGAATTACGTACAGTTAAATTTCATAAAGATGCAAAAGAAGCATTAGGTATATCAATAACAGGTGGTAAAGAACATGGTTTACCTATTCTTATATCAGAAATTCATGAAGGTGGATTAGCATGGCGTTCTGGACAACTTTATGTTGGAGATTCTATATTAACTGTTAATAAACGTGATCTACGTGATACAAAACATACCGAAGCTGTTCATATTCTTTCATCTGTTGTATGTATTTTATATTATAAAAACAGAAAAAGAAAGAGACTTTTTGTTTTGTTTTTTTTAATAGAAAGGAGATATTACAATGACAGTTGTATTTGTTGCACCTGATGATAGTGATGATGAAGATTTAACAAATTGTGAAGAAAATAATCATTTAAAATATAAATTTTTGACTAACGAAATTGAACATAATCTTAAAACAAAAGATATTGATTCAATTAAAGATTTATCTATATCAAATGGTGATAGAGGAAAAAACTTATTAGAACAAACAGATGGAACAGATACGACAAGTATTGATAGTAGTCAAAAGTAAAAATTATTTTTAAATATAAAAGAATTTTATATTTTATTTTTTCTTCTTTCTAGAAATATTCAATCAGTAGTTGATAAATATCTTAAACATACACGTCAAAATTTACCTGCTAAACGTACTAATTCGAAAGATTAATTATTATGTATTTATTATCCGACAATAAATGTCGAATTTAAATCATAAATCAATCTATAGAAACCCGACATTTGTATGTGATGAATTTGCTGTTTCAAAATCAACAGAGGAAAAGAAATGTCTTTTTCTGTATTCATTTTATTCGGAGTTTTTTCTTTTTTTTTTATTATTATTTAAATATAAATCTTATACAGATTATATCTTATGGATGAATATAAATAGAAGTATTTTATTTTTTTTATTTTATTTCGAAAAATCTTCTCCTATAGAAAGGATTGTCATATGGCTTAAGGCTATAAAATATGACAGTTATGATTATTACATATGATTAGAAAAAAGAAAACATAGTTGATAAGTAAAGATATGCACATGCATATGGTAAATATGTATGATTGAATACTGGCATGTGAAACCTCCTCCTTTTGGCATCGAAATTCTCTTTTTCCTCCTTTTTATCAATTAAGCTTGTGAATGAGTATTTTCAATATTTGAAACAATGCGTTTTTACGATGCTACAATTCAGACGATATTTGAAATGATTGATTATAGTACTACAACAAAAAATATACTTTAATTTTAACGAATACCAGTCTTTATTTCAAATTTTCGACAATACAAAGTGTCATCATCACGCAATAACTGGCAAAAACTTAAAAAGATTACGTATATTTACATATGTATGTATGTATGTCTGGATTGTGAATACTCCTCCTTTTCCTCTTTTTTTTCAAAATGTCTCCTTTTTATGATTATCTCCTACTTTTCCTTTTTTGCTACGAAATTTAGCAGTCAGAATGGTGGTTTTAGTACAATTTTCGAATTGTCTGATACAGCAATCTGTCTCTACGATTGCTACTCCAGGTAGAATACGAAATGTGCTTCGAGCAAGCAAAATAATTCACTAGGAAACTGTTTTTTTTTTGCAAATCTCATTCTCGTCTTTGCATTATATAAGAATTTTGCGTATATTATGATGTTTCATATGATTGTACTTTGTCTTACGCAAATATTTCTTTCAATAGATGAATGTGATACTATGGTATGCTTTGATATAGTTATTGACAAAGAAATGTTTCGCAAAAGAGATTAATAGAGAGAGAAGTGATGTTCCATCAACAGTAGCCGAAAATAACAGCATTTATTGTGAGAGACGAATAGTATCAAACACAAACATTTCTAATATATTTATAGCAGTAATAATCGCGCTTAGAAAAATATACGCACATGTTTCTGCAATATTCCGTTCG